TGATGATATCTTGTGCAAGGTGATTTCGTTTTATCTCTGCAAACCTCTTATAATTTCATCATATTCTATAACTTGCTGCTGTCCTCGTCTGGGTTTCCCATCTCTAGTTAACCCTTTCATTGCTCTCATTGACAATCGGTTGGCTGTCCGATGTATTATGTTGCCAAGGCATTACACAAGTCCTTCAGAGGGCCACAGGTTACACATCTGTGGTATTGTCTCACAGTTGTAGCCTGCTTGCAAAAGCGTCTGGTGTGTGCCAAACACAGTATTAATTCAGCAAACGCGCGTGCTAAGCGTAAGCTTGACCTGGGCATTATTGTCTCATTTGTGTGCTGTACAGGAGCCGTACTGGGCCGTGCTCAACGACCGAATCCTGGCATCATTGCAAGGACCTCATCTGGCCACGTCCTCTGGCAGCAAGCAGAGCATCTTCCAGCTTCTCAGTTTCACCTCCAATCACAATAGCATCACTGAGGTGCAGTGCTGCTACCTGATGGCACTGGTGCATGCCGTCTGGTACCACGCCAGTGTTGGCCAGATCAGCCAGATTCCACAGTAAGTGCCTGTCAACTCACTCACAAGCTCTCTTGCTGGGGTTAGAATACGTAACTGCGGCATGGCATGGAAAAGGTTGAAAAAATTCAAAGCACGTAGTCTAGAAATGTGCAACTCTGCATCAAAAACAGTGATCATGCTTTTGTAAATGACGTCCGTTGGAGTAGCTGAAGCATGTATGTAATACATTTGATATACAAGTTAACAATTTACATGGAATTGCTGCTGTGGTTTTAAAGTCCTTGGAAAATTTCTCTTCACAAGAGAGTGTTATATTTCAGTGCAGTGCTACTGCAGTGTCATTTCTCTGTTTATTATAGCTCAAGTTGAGGTAGTTCAAGTAATTGCAAAGTCATTTACTGTTGCCGAGTTTCTGAGCTGATGGCGCTTTAGTCTATTTTTTTTTTCTAAATATTGCTACAGTTGTTCAGGGGACTTTTAATGTTTATTAAAAACTTTTTGCCCTCATCCTTGTGGCCTGTTACTTTTTCAGAATCATGCGTGACCGATTCAAGCCCGTAGTTAAAACGGAAGAGCAGTTCCTTTTCCTGTGCCATCTTGTGGCTCCGTTCTTTCAGCGCATGGGAAATGAAAGGTCACGGATCGTCATGGATGTGAGCCAGCACATTTTTTTTCTCCGCTTTCTGCATTTTTGGTCAGCACATCGCCAATGGATACGTAGAAAAGGGTGCTGCAGAATGGGTGATGACAAACACTTAAGAGTAACACAATACAGCTGAAACACCTCTGCAATGAAAATGACCTGGGGGAGGGGGGGAGGAATAAAAGTCTGCATGTCTCGACTATTATTCTGAATGTTGTGAAAATATTGCGAATGTCCTCTTTCTGTATGTCCTCAAGTTAATGTGGTGGTTGCGAGTGCTTTTTAATACTGGGTTGATGATGAAATCCAAATAGAAGCAGTGACTTAAGTGTGAAGTGAGTAACTCTAACAGTTCACAGTTATTCACGTTTCCTAGCTCAAGGCAGCTAATGGACTGGGTCTGTCCTTTGTTCTATTGTTTACTTTCGATACGCAGTTTATAAAGAGCAATGAGAGTTACAAAGAAGATTTAGGAATTGATTTATTGCCACATGAAAATTTTTCTCAGTGTATCTTTGCTTTTGTAAATATTATTGCGCAGCCAGCTAATCTTGATCTTCCTGCAGGTGGTTGAATGAGTTTTGAAACAATATGCAACATAATCCTTTCAAAAAATGATACTTCTTATCACGTATGTTTCCAAAAGCAGAGTCAATGCACCTGAATAAGCATGCTCCCCAGTGAATTTTCTGTAGCTCTTTTCCTTCTCTGGTACGTTTTGGATTCCAGTGAATTCACCAAGGTTTACTTTTACATCTCTTGCATTGAATGTTATTTTTTTTATCACAGATTACCATGGAGCTGTACGAAATGCTGGAAAATGTTGATAAGAACTGTGAGCAGCTGAACTACATTGACCAGATCACTGACCTCCTGTATCCTTTTTGCTGAATATCATTTATTGCCATTTCATTATTTTATGTTTTTCAATTTCCAACATGAATTCTGTGCATGGTGGTATCAGACGGAAACATTGCAGATAGGTTGACTTTGTTATATGATCGTTGGCCAGCAGTTGTATTAATAATTGTAGCTAAAACCTACGTGTTGTTCACAGAGCCAGATTTTCAACTTAAGTGTGTTTTGTTTGAACATAAGTGCTCCTATTCAGCAGAAAAAATTTCTTCGTGTCAACCGCTTTTAGTCACTTGTGTTGTTTACAAAGCTTACAAAACATCAGCATCTTTACTGGGTGCACAACACTGAAACAGCAATCGTAGAGATGATGTTTGCCAGTGGCTCATTTTTAAAATCTAACATTTTCATTTTTTATGGGCTTGAGACATTGGAGAATGTCTAATAAATTTGTTACCATTTAAACTGAGACCACTTGCCCTTTTATCATCTTTTCTTTCTTTTTTTTTCCAAGTGTGTTCATCAACTTTGACATGGAGTGTTCATGAACACTTCATGTGATTAGCGTTCATAAACTCAGAGAGACCCCAAAAAAATGAAGTGTATGGTGGAGAAGCTTCTGTTTTATAACTAGAAGCAAAACAGGGGAATAGATTGAGGGAACAGCTTATTAGATGTGGTTGTATGAAGCTGAGGTAAGCGTAGGGGCTGTTGCTTGTTGTATTTAGTGGAAGTGTTACTATTATGCGGGTTTAAAATAGCAGTAGGAAATCGACCACCATCGCTAGAGCGAAAGGTCAAGAACAACTGCGTACTGCCATTTATGACATATGGGGCTGAAACATGGAAAATTACGAGGTAACTAGAGCAAAAGCTGATGACCGTGCAGCATCGTATGAAACGTCAAATTATAGGAATAATATTAAAAGATCGGAGGATGGCAGATTGTTTAAGGGGCCAGACAGGAGTTGCAGATATTGTGGTTGACATTAAGTGAAAATAACGAACCTGGGCTGACCACGTAATGCATACGACAGACAGTCAGTAGACGGTAAAAGCAACAGGAAAGTTACCAAGGGGAGGGAACAACTGTCGATGAAGGCAGAGAGTTAGATGGAGCGTCAAAATTAAAAACTTTGCAGGGTAAAAATGGAATCATTTTGCACGAGATAAGATAAACTGGAGATCGTTTGGAGATGCAGTGGACTTAAAAAAAAAAGGCTGTGAATTATGATGGTGATTTCATGAGATGAATGTAGAGGGATGAGTAGGGAAGGTTTGTTGAGGTTAGTGGCAATGCAAGGAACGGTGAAGGAGGCAGACTACAAACAGAGTTGTGTATTGCCTTTGACTGGTGTGCTCTGTAGGTACCACATCAAGTACATGTTCACTGGAGACTCCATCAAGACTGAAATAGAGAGGAGCATCCGCAACCTGCGACCAGCGCTGCAGCGTAGACTGCGCTTCATCACGCACCTCAACATCGAGGAAACTGCCGCGTCATGAACCTGTGCCTTCATCACTGTGAGAGACACAAAAAAGGAAGCCACTAAATTAACTTGGACTGGTGGATAGTTTTATTTATACTGAACTTCATCGGCACATTTTTGATGAAGGAAAGATGGAGAGAAAAACTAGGAATAAGCATGTCTCGACAGAACCTGTGATTACATGCACTTGCCGTGCAAGTTTTTTTGGAGCATCATTTCTAGCATGCCTTCCAATCTCATATTCATGCTTGGTTGGGCTTATGTACCATCATTTCTCGCATTTCATTCTTACATGCCTTCCAATTTCTTATTCATGCCTGATTGGGCTGATGTACCCAGTTGCAGACATCCTGTCAAGGTTAGTTTATATCTTTTTAGCGTCGTCGTCTCAAGCCATTCTTCGATTTCCTTGTTCACGAAGATGTGAAGCGGATCTCGTGTCGCAGCTGAACTGATTTGAATCTAATTTATTGTGTTCAAAGTGCCAAGCTTACAATTATGTTTACTTTAATATATACTGCAGGTGTGCATACTGCATCACTCTATAACATCTATAGATAGCTCATGTTGTGTATTAGTTGTAAAGTTGCACACAAAATTATAGCTTTGCATATGGGCGTTAGCAGGTCCTCTTCAGGAGTTACCTCATCTTACATAGCTGAATTATGATCAAGAATTCAGATTATTTAAGGATTCTGGGCAGTGTTATACAATGAAATATTGCATATTGTTTCTATTGTGTTCATATTTTGCTTATCTTATGTAGAAGATATGTTGTAAGGAAATCAAAGTTTGGTTGTGAGATAATGCTCTCTAAAAATTATTAATTTCTCGATCCAACACAATTCATCTTTTATCTCCATTCTGCGCTTTTTATTTGTACATCTCGTGTGAATAAACACTAGTTCATGAAGAAAAGGTAACTGCACCAATTTATGCCTGTACGCATACAGTCGTTTATTGTGTTCTATACTTGTCCTGATTAAAAAAAAAAAAAAACATTTCAATATATCGATGTGCCTGTGTAGTTACTTAGAAACCACTTTTTTTTTTTTTTTTTTGCTGTCATTGTAGTAATGAAATTTGTTCCAAGATGTAAGGACTTCTTGAATCGGGCATGTTGAGGGGACCCCTTTGTGCACGTAGCAAATGAGAGCTTGCTATTAAGCTTATTCCAAATTCGTTACTAATCAGTGAAAGACCAATATTTGCAACTTAAACTGACTGCACGTAAATCCCTAAGCTTGACATATACATATGCTGTTTTTCACTTAGAGACCACATCGCTCGCGATAGCAGCGATGTTTTGCATAGCCTCGGAGAAATGTGACGTTAGTTGCATGGCCTTTGAGATTGCAAGCGTGCAACAAGTTTTTCTTCACGTTGCGCGTTTACAATCTCGGAGGCAATATATTCATTGGTAATCTTGAAGGTTTGTAAAACAATGGATGGATGAAACAGCGTATGCCCCTTCTCGAGCGTTCTGTTCCCCCGTTTGTTGATTGGTTCGCTGCGCCGCCGCATTTGCAGTCTGGGCAGCCGTTCGTAGCTGACCGCCTTGTGGCCGTTATCGGTGCTCCGTGCCGTTTTCGTTGTGTTCGCGCCACGGTGAAACCCCCTCAGTCCGCGTCAGAATGGGCGTCGAAGTGCAGACCATCTCTCCCGGCGACGGTGAGTGTTTGGAAGCCGTCGGCGTGCCCAGCTGCGACGCCAACATGGCGCTTGCGGCTGCGGGTACGAAGGGGGGATGCCGCCACGAGGCCTTGTCCGCCCAGCGTAGAAACCGTGAAAAGAATAGTTCTCGAACCACATTTGCGGATTTGTGCCGCTAACTCGCGATACCGGACGTTCCCCGACGGTTACTGAAAAGCAGCGTACCGTTGCACGGGCATAGCGTTTGACCAAACCCCTATTTCAGAGGGGGGGAAAAGTGCCGGCTGCCCGGCTGCTTGCACGGGAAACTGTTCTGTATGTTCAAATGCAGCGCCCTAAGTTTGGCGAGCTTTCACTCGGCAGTCGAACGTGGCCCTTAGCACGGCAGTGCAGCCCAATGCTCCGATTTCGGTCAGCATGATTTTGCTGCGGCCTTGCCCGTAGCATGCGGACAGGGAAAAATCGCGCAGCGCCGCTGGGGAGATCGTTTTTCATCGACTGCTTTCTGCGGAAGTGCTCGTTTTTGGCGGCGCTTGGGGCTCGTCGTGTGACGCACTAACAAGAGGAACAACGCAACGTTCGCCTGTATTCACGACGCGCGGCGCATATGTTTTTAATTACTCGATGGGCCAGGCACGCATCGACCGTGCCAACTTGAAAAAGACGGAACATTCATCGGTGTGCTTTGGATGAACAGCAGCTGCAGAACACATTGATATGCGTGTTACGCACAAACGAGACTGGTTGCCCGTACGCCGTACGTGCCGGCGTATTTTGCAACGTAACTGCTTTTGGAAAAAAAAAAAAAACCTTTTTTTTTGTAGCCCCATAGCATAGGGTGATAGAGCTTGAAACGCCAAGAATTTCGTGACTCAAGCTGTTACTAAAACGCAGGCGACTGAAGAAAAAAAGTCTTTGTTTGCACGCACCTGTATATTTCATTGATAGGTAATATTATCCTTATTCAGTTTATGGGTCATTAGTAAATGGGACTATAGACATTAGAATGGGACTATTTAAAAAAGTGCTAGTTTGTTAACACCAACAAAGAGTACAGCATACACTAAAGTTATATATTGACATTGGTCATATGTGAGGAACTATTTCTTGAATATAAGAGTTATCGCATGAGTGCACCATTGGATATTGCGTACATTCATTGTGGCATAAAATAGACTGCCTCCCTATTTTTACTACGACAATTTTTCTTGCAGGCCAGACATTCCCAAAAACTGGTCAGACAGTAGTGGTCCATTACACAGGTGAGCCTACATCTTTGCCTAACAAATGAAACTGAATAAGACCTGCCAAAAGCCACTAGATTGAGTAATTACAATCTCAGTATTACATGTACTGTGCATACATTATTTAATATTCTGAAGAATTTTCTGCATTGCTTCTGGTACAACTATTTGCATGCACTGCAGTGATATTTTTATGTAACAAGATTTTATGGTAAAAGGCTAGATTTTTGCAGCTGCTTTGTTATATTCATAATTTAGCAATATTTTAAAACATTTTAGGTGCATTTAGTCGGGCATAAAAGCTGACCTAGATGTGTTATGCAAAAAAAGAAAGCAGTTTCTTATCGCATTTGTTGACATATTTTTCTGATCTACACTGCACTAATTTCACCACCTTTCGGAAATGTTGCTCAGCGGCTTTGCAGAAAGCTCATTTCATTTGATGGTTGTATCTACTTCTTTGAATGTTCTTTCACGTCTTTCTCTTTTCTATTAATCCCAATTGGTTTAGTCAGGTTATCAAGCTAGTCATTTTATATTGTTTTACTTATTTTTTATAAGTGCACAGAAATCAAACAGTTCTGCTTAATGGAAGCATTTGCTCTTAACAGATACGTGCAGGCAAATCATGTGGAACTACGAAGGGTTGAGTGATCAGTTTTCTTGTACTTGCCTTATTGATCAACAGAAAGAATAATGTTATCCAATTCTGCCTACTGTAAAAAGTGTGAGATCTTAGTCGAGCGTTCCTCGCTTTTGGTCTCGCACCTTCATCAAGCTTAATTGCATACATGCGAAGTAAATTATTATTATAGTACGTTGATCATTCTAGCGTTGGATCCTTGTATGTCCATGGAACAAACAAGTCTTTTTAGTTGTAACGTGGTAGCACGATTGATTGTGCAGGTACCTTGGCTGATGGTTCCAAGTTTGACTCCTCACGAGATAGGGGCAAGCCATTCAAGTTTCGCATTGGCAAAGGGGAAGTGATTCGAGGCTGGGACGAAGGCGTTGCTCAGGTGAGACAATCTTCAACTTTCACATAAGAGCGCATCCATAGAAGAACAGCAGAATGTGCAAGAGAAAGTGCTGACATTAAAAATATCTGCCACTTGAAACTGAGATTCATTTGTCCTAACGTCAGTACTTTGGCCCAGTTGTAAAAGTAGACTTGCTGGGCAGTTTGCGTATTAGTATTGTCGTGGTACCGTTCTTCAACCGAATGTGTTACAAGATGTCTGCTATGTGCTACAGTAGTTGTCCCCTTCTTTTATTTACCGTGTTTTACCCAGACTTCAAAATTGAGATTTGTCCTGTCTAGGGGGGGGGGGGGGGGGGAGATGCCTTTCTTTATATATATATATATATTTCAATGCCAAGCTTGATATGAAGTTCTTAAGATAGAATCGCAGTTTTTTAGAGCAGCGGAGCTCCTGGCTGTCAACGATGTTGTTGGTCGCATCTTCTACCTCACTTTAGCTGCGAGCTTCCGTTCATGCTTAAATTATAGCACACGGGCAGTATGACCATGTTTGGTATCGTTACGGCGTCAGTCTTCTGTGCAAAAACGGCAGCGGGAGCGGTTGGCTGTGCGCTATAGTAGAGTGTGATTCCCTCTGTACAAATTTGCATACCTATTTATCCGCTTATGTTCATTTTAACCAAGTGAATTCGTGTATCTCAGTTATTAACTGCCTCATGCTTAAATTATAGCACAAGGCAGTATGACCATGTTTGGTATCGTTACGGCGTCAGTCTTTAGTGCAAAAACGGCAGCGGGAGCGGTCAGCTGGGCGCTGTAGTCGAGTGGAATTCCCTCTGTGCAAACTTACATACCTATTTATTTACTTATGTTCATTTTGAAAAAGTGAATTCGTGTATCTCAGTTATGAACTGCCGTGACTGCTGTTTTTAATGTGCCTATTATCCCCGATTCTTTTTCTGACCAAATGGCTGGTGTATGGCCTGGTTTTGGAAGTTGAGTAAGTAGCTATACCTCAGCCACACGCCTCTGCACGCATAGACGTGGACTTATTACGATAGCATAGCCTCGACTAGAAACCGTCTGCGCGTGTAGGGACAATGGAACGAATGTAGAGGCGTGATGGTGTCCGTGATCAACGATGTGTGACTGAAGGCTCACTGATGCAAGAAAGAACTTTCAATCACGATTGGTACAGCCAGATGCTGTGCTGTGTGCATTTCACGACTCGGTGGGCATTGAAGCTGTTCGTGGTTTTCACACGCGATGCTGGAATAGATCTTGTGTGTAGGTGTCGGAGCACTGCGATTGTGAGCCTTTTTTATGTTGAACAGTGTGCGATACTGCTACGGTCGACTTGTACCATATTACGATGGGCTTTCAAACACACACTTGTGTTGCACCTCAAGGTAACATCTGATATTATCTAAAAATAAGATTGTGCGTGCAATAGGCAGTAAACAAAGCTATTGTGATATCTTAATGAGTGAATAAGAATTTATGATTAGCAGCCAGGCTCTGTCTTTACAATCTGTGCAAGATTTCTTTTTATGTTTGTTATTTACTAGCAGGAGAGCCTATTGGCTCTCCTGCTAGTAAAAGAAAATTGAATGAAAAAAAGATGGGCTGGATTGCATAGAGTAGTTATTCCCAAATAATGACTGTCGGCTTATCATTGTACTTAAAGCTGCATTCAGAGTTTCGCGATGTTGTCATGTCATGATGGAATGCCTCGTTAAAGTTGCAGACCATATGCTAAATGTACACTGAATTTGTAGCTGTAAATGTATACATTAGTAGAATTACATCCACCACTGTACAGTGTTCACCACTATACTTGTATTCATTCAGTATCTTGTCAAGAGCTGGGCAGAGAACTTTGTCTTTTTCTTTTCTTTCTTTTATTATGAGATCCCTGTGCACTTCTTTTCTCGTCCCTCATCTGGTAACGAGCTGTCAATGAAGCGAGCTTCAATCAACACACTGAACTTGGCATCTTGACTAAAACCCCAGTTTTGTGTTTCTCTTGACGCAGATGAGTGTCGGCCAGCGAGCCAAGCTGATCTGCTCTCCAGACTATGCCTATGGAGCAATGGGCCACCCTGGCATATATCCTTGAAAGGTTAATATAGAACTACTAATGAACAAGCTTAATGTGATTTGGATGGTACACTGTGGTTTTAATTGCCATGGCAACAATTGCTGAAAACTGTGTTAAGGGTTTGGTCCTTAACTGCTACAGTTGCACTTCTATCAGCGTTGTGTGCAAATGTTGTCGTGTGTCCAAGTAAATGTTGAGTTGCACTATGGAATGAGTACGTTATTTTAGATTTAAAATGTATTATTCCAAAGTACCCCTTCACTTCATTTGATGGAAAAAGCTTAATTTTTTTCAAATCTGGCTGTAGTCTTTGCTGGAATTGCATGTCAAGCTTGTCACGTGCTTAGAGCTCAGTCAACAAAGTATTTATTCGCGTAATGAACCCAGCTTATCTTTTTTTCCAGAAAAGTTGATGCCAATTTGGGGGGGAGGGGGGTTATTACGCGGAAAGAAAAAGGTCCCGGGAGTTATAACAGTGAAAATTTCGCACGATTGTTTTGGCCCGTGAATTGCGCGACGAATCTTTTTTGTAGCCCAAAGCTCTTTCTGTTTTTTCCAGTAATAATGTGCATGGATCTATGCCGAAATGTCGCCCACCCGCTTGGTTTTTATGCTTCAGCACATGCAGCTGTGTACCTAGTGTACCAGCTGAACGCGCCCTGTGCAGCAGGTGTCCAATTCTCTGCAGTGTCGAATGGAGGCACACAAACATTGCGGGTGCACAACATGCCATCGGCGCGATTGCGCTTTGCATGGCCTCTGAGATGGCGCGCGCGCGACTTGCTTTTAAGTGGCGCGCTTGTCATCTCGGGGGCTATGGGCTTTGTTTCTTGCTTTGTTTTCATGCCACTGTGCTTGCGTGGCTCTATAAGCAAAAGGATTTCTCCTGTATTCGACAGATCGCGCTCTACTGCAAAAGGCGCGACTTTTTTTTTTATTGACATCGTCCGTGCTCGCTTTGCTCAACTGTTTAGCATGGTTGCCTATGTTTTGACATTGATTGCATCGTTATATTGTGATATATCAGCTTGATTTGACGTTGTTTTGATCAGCAACGACACTGGCTATCGCATCAAAATAAAATGAACAGATACATTAAAACTTTTTTTTTTTTTTTTCAAGGCCCAAGATAACGGGTGGGTTCATTATACGAGTAAATAGAGTATTTTTTGGCAACACGTATACAGTTGAGCCCACATATAATGGCTCTACTTAAAACAAACTATATCTGCGCGACCGTGGAAACATACATTATTTCAGTGACTCAACATCGCACTTACAACAGACTCCTCTGAGCGCGTTGTCGATCGGTTACAGCGAATGGAGTCAGCACTCCAGCTACTTCTCGGGAAACCGCCTTCGACCACCAATAAGCCATCGTCGAGGTGCCCATATGTTCTCATTGTTAAACGCCGACCCTGCCTCTGCAGCGGTCTGGTTATTGTCGCTGTCCCCGATCATTGTATGTTACGCATCTCTCCCCCCCCCCCCCCCCCCCCCCCCCCCCCCCCCCCCCCCCCCCCCCGTGGTACACTGTGGTTTTTAATTGCCATGGCATTAATTGCTGAAAACTGTGTTAAGGGTTTGGTCCTTAACTGCTACAGTTGCACTCCTATCAGCGTTGTGCGCAAATGTTGTCGTGTGTCCAAGTAAATGTTGAGTTGCACTATGGAATAACTACGTTAATTTGGATTTGAAATGTATTATTCCAAAGTACCCCTTCACTTCATTTAATAGAAAAAGCTTATTATTATTTTTTTTTCAAATCGCGCTGCTCTTTGCTGGACCTGCATGTCAAGCTTGTCACGTGCCCAGAGTTCAGTCAACAAAGTAACAAAGTGGCATTTAGCATAGAGGAAATCTGTGTGTCCATTCTGTATTTATTCACGTAAAGAACCCAGCTTTTTTTTCCAGAAAAGTTGGTGCTAATTTGGGGGGGGGGGGGGGGGGGGTCATTACGCGGGAGAAAAAAGTCCCAGGAGTTCAAAAGCGAAAATTTCGCACGATTGTTTTGGCCTGTGAAATGAGCAACAAATCTTTTTGGTAGCCCAAAGCTCTTCCTGTTTTCCCCATAACGAACGTGCATGGATCTATGCCGAAATATCGTCCAGCCGCTTGGTTTTCATGCTGCAGCGCATGCAGCCGTGTACCTAGCCTACCAGCCGAACGCGCCCTGCGCAGCAGGTGTCCAATTCTCTGCGATGAACCCGACAATAAAAATGCAGTGTCGAATGGAGGCGCACAAACGTTGCGGGTGCACAACGTGCCGTCGGTGTGGTTGCGCTTCTGAAATGGCGTTGAAATGGCGCGCGCACGACTTGCTTTTAAGCGGCGCGTTTGTCATCTCGGGGGGGGGCCATGGGCTTTGTTTCTTGCTTTGTTTTCGTGCCGCTGTGCTTGTGTGGCTCTATAAGCAAAAGGATTTCTCCTACATTCGACAGATCACGCTCTACTGCAAAAGGCACGACTTTTTTTTTTTATTGACATTGTCTGTGCTCGCTTTGCTCAACTGTTTAACATGGTTGCCTATGTTTTGACATTGATTGCATCGTTATTTTGTGGCATAACAGCTTGATTTAACATTGTTTTGATCCTCAGCGGTACTGGCTATCACGTCAAAATAAAATGAAGATGCATTAAAGCTTTTTTTTTTTCTCAATTACCCAAGATAGGGCGTGGGTTCGTTACACGAGTAAATACAGAATTTTTCGGCAACGGATATACAGCCGAGCCCACATATAACGGCTCCCCTTAAAGCAAACTATATCTGCGCGACCGTGGAAACATACATTATTTCAGTGACACAAAATCGCACTTACAACAAACGCCTCTGAGTGTTGTCGATCGGTTACAGCGAATGGAGTCAGCGTTCCGGCTGCTTCTCGGGAAACCGCCTTTGACTACCGCTAAGCTATCGGCGAGGTGCCCAAATGTTCTCATTGTTAAATGCCGACCCTGCCTCTGCAGCGGTCTGGTTATTGTCGCTCTCCCCGATCGTTTTATGTAACGCATCCCTCCGTCCAACAAAACGTTGAAAGTGTGGCCACTTGGCATAGGCGTAATCCGCGCTTTTAAGACTTATCATAGGTGCCGCATTGTGAAGCGCTTACTCATATCTGTTGACCGCCCGGCAGCTAACTTGCCGCTTCGGGTGTCTCCGTATTCAGCTGTGCAAACAGTGACGGCTTTGTGGGTGGCGGTGGTGGCTACATGTGTGCGAAACTGTTTTTGCAAGGCTGACTTCGTCGACATCGGACTCGATGCCGAGCCTGAAGCTTCCGAACAGGCAACTTGTGGCAGCAGGTCGACTCCGACATGGGAGGGTGTGCAGGACATCTGTTGCAATGATTTTATTACGGTTGATAGTGATGCCAACACTGCAGAAACGTGCACAGTTCAGGGCATTGTGTATGAAGTGCACGGCAAGAGCGATTTAGAGGAATCAGGCGGCGAGGACAACGAAACTTTGCAGCCAGTGCCCACAAGCGTGCTTGTAGCAATTGGCTACATTAATAACCTCAGGCAGCTTATGCCACGGGCCTTGGCAAAGAGCATGCTGCTCAACCATCCTTACCACTTCTGTTATTTGAAACTTGCGCACCATGCACTTTTATTTGAAAAAAAAAAAAAAAATTGTGTTTTCACTCGCACTTGTTTTATTTACTACGAACTCCAAAATACAGCGAACGGATGCCGCGTCATGCTCAGGTTCGTTATAAGCGGGCTTGACTATAGTTACCTGCTAATATTCTTAGTAAAGATCTTAGAATTAGCTATGTCCTTGTATTTGTGTTTTATATTAGTGATGTTTAGCTGTAGTGTGAGTTGAGAGCTGCTGTGTTCACCTCATACGCTAGTAACAGAAGTTCCAAAAGCAATAATTTATAACGCTTCAAGAAATAATCAGTATCTATGCCATTTTTTGTGGCACTGCACATGTGCTTCTTAACTAGCCCACCAACAGACATTATCAGGGGTGCAACAGCTGCGCCAGTTGTGCCAATTTGATATCAATCCCATTGTGACACCGAGCGCACCAAAACCATGAAATTTGATTAAATTGCGCCATGCTGCGCCGAAGTACCCGACCAGCCTCAAAATGTTCTCAGTTGCGCTACTTTCAGCGAGAAGTGGAAGCCACGTTGGCCCCCTGCAGTTTTCGCCATCAATCAATCCAAGCGCGCAGTGAACCAAAGCGCAGACCCTAACGTGGTGTAAGATGCATATAATAATGATTTAAGTCGGGGCAGTCGCGAGACGCGATCAACCAGATAAAGTAACAAGGCCACCAGCCCATCGGTCTGCTGAACTCAGCGGATACCTATCGGCCGGACGACAGAAATTCAAGACAAAAATGTGTTGCCATAGCCGCCAACGCTTCACGGGCAATATGAACTTTCTAGTCGGCAAACCTGAAATCACGCCGTAAGATATATTAATGATTTAGGTTGGGGGGGGGGGGGGTACTCAAGAGAGTTAGCAGCATCGTCCTGGCGATAGATATCCGGTGATAGAAAGTGCTGCAAGTGAGCCGAGAAGTTGCGCACTATACCCAACTCTATCGTAAAAAAAGAGGGGGGGGGGGTGTAGGGGTGTTTCACTTTCACCGCAGTTAGCCGTACATTATTAGACTGCATATTTGTGAGTACTAGTACGATCGCTGTCTGAAAAAAAAAAATGCTGGTTATCATTTGGACCAGTGTAAAACATTTCTGTCACCCTTCTGTGCCAGTTTTTTTTTTTTTTGGCATTTCTATTTTTTAGTATCACGAATCCTCGGAATTTCAATGTCGCCAGCTTGGGAGATCCACATTTGAATTCGAAGAGTCTATCAAAGGATTTGACAGGTGTGGCAAATGGTTATGTGTCATTGTTTACTCAGTGTGGCGGTTCAAAATACTACATTTATTGAAATAACTGTGCTCATTTTATGGCTCCCAATTTAGGTGATGTTGAATGGTTTCTACACATCTTTATCTAAATTTAAGCCCACTTTCTTAGGTTGCTCCAAATTTGATGGTTCATGATAAAAACAAGATTTTTTTTCCCCCTAACCTGTTCCAACTTTCCATTTTAATGCTCCAGAAGTAACATTTTGCTGCTCCAAAAATTGCTCCTAATTCTATTTTGTCTGTTGCATCCCTACATTATCGATGTCTAAGTCTCCAGTTCATTCTTACATTGCTTTGTATAAAGTAATAGTGTTTTAGGCCCCACCATAGCTCTGAAAAAAAAAAAAAATGTACTGTGCTCTATGCAGGACTTTACAGAAACTTGGTAGAATTACCACAAATGTCTTTTGATGTTTGTTCTTCCCCAATGTTATTGAAAACTCAAATGCATAACCTGCACATATTGCGGAGTGCACGGATGCAAAGACTTTTCAACATTTGCTTGGTTGGATGGTGTGTTCAGGTTTTGTTATTATTGACAGTTGACATTGCTTGAGTGTTTTGATATATCAAATGTAATTTTTATGCACTTTCTCCCCGTAATGACCCACAAATGTGAGTTAACAGTATGCTCAAATTAATAAAAAAAAACTTGGCACAAGAATGTTCATTGTGTGCAGGCGGTGCGCCTAAATCAATGAAGTTATTTCATTCAATGAATCAATAAATTGTCCCTGAAAAACACAGTACAGTCAAGCCCAAAAATATGAAGCTTTTGTAAATTGAATTCTTTCATATCGAATTATCTTTAAACATGACATTGCTTAAGCATCAGTGTAAAAAAAAGATGTACGGCTACATTGGACACAAATAGCCAGAAATCTTCGTATATGGAAAATCGCATTGAGCAGCCTGAAATGCCCCAAGAAGTTTGCATTTAAGTGAGTGATCAGTGCGATTAAGAGAGTGCTGCGCAGAGCAAAGAGAAGCTATTGCTTGCAATCATGTGCATCAAAGATGCGCACATGTTTTTCCAGGCTTTTCATTGAATATATACTGTATTAAACTCCCTTTCTTTTTGTGATTTCAGTATATGCCGTATTATTGCCTGTATTGCATTTCCCAACACATCACCAGGTCTTCCTTGACTTCGCTGCACTATCCCGCCTAACGCTGTGCTCACCTTCGACGTTGAACTGCTGCGGCTCGAGTAAAACTACTGATTACTCCACGCCCTGCAAGCTTTTGGAGCAAGCACTGGCATTCAGCCGGTCACTGTCTTCGCTCATCCCTTCCCCTAACCCTTACCACCAAGTGTTATGTTTGTTTTGTTTGTTTTTGTCTACTCCTTGCCCCCAGCAAAGTCTTGGACAAAGGCCTGGCCTTCCTCTTGTGGGCAGGCAAAGGGCAGCTGTGTCTGCACCATACATCAGGCCTCCTCCAAACAGTGGACGACACACTTCTTCTCTGTTAAACAGCATCCAAGAAAGGGAATGTTTTTGAGAAACGAGATGCACGCCCACTCGCTTGACGCATTTTGTTGCCGGGCTGTACAATGCTCATCGTGCCCAATGAACTAGCCCAAATCGCGCGGGAGACCAATTGTTTCCGTGTCGAGTTGCCGTTAGTGACCCAGGCCACCTTGTGAACAAAAAGAATGAGCTGAATCTGAAGACGTTGCAAAAGCCGCTGTGGAAGACGTTGCAAAACCACTGTGGACAACACTGCGGTTTTGCGGTTGCGCAAAACCGCAGTGTTGGTAATACCAGGGTGGTCTGCTGTCTGAAGACGTCTGCCAATCGCCGCCATGGTGGGTGTGCATGCTACAGAATCAACAGTGTGTGTGCCTTGCCATTTGAAATTTCGTGCTTTGGCAGTGTTTTGGGATGGCTGACCACTCCTCGAAAGCGTTTTGACGTTTGGACTGGTCTCTGGTTGTTGGGGACGTGGTGTTGGCACGTTGATGCTGCACTGCCACACTGCGCCCCGGAACTATGCACCCTCTCCCGTGCCCTGTACCTGTGTGTGAAAAATAGAAATGTTCTAAATGCACCTCATCACGCCCGTGTTCCTTGCTTCTTGCATTCAGGTTCTGAGTAAAATCAGTAAAACCACTGATAGGCAACCAACAGGACCTGCTTTCATTTAAAGGGACCACGCCACACTTTTTTTTTCTGCATTCTGCAGTGCTTGAGTGGTGAATGCAGAGATAAATGCAACATGAATCATTGAAATTAGTGCTCTTTAACAGAAATTATTAGCCTCCAAACTTCAAAACCCTAGCACACTGCGAGACAGAGTTCTCTTTCGTATTTCACTCTCCCACTGACATCAAAGGCCGGTTCCTATCATTGTAGGCTTTTGACAGAGATGGACTGGATGGTTGGCCTTGTGGTGGCCCTTGTGCAGCCCACCTAGTGTTGTTTTGCAATTTTCCAAATTTCATATTTAAAAGAATCCTTTTGTACTTAAGGAAGTATAAAAAGCGCTTTTCGAGTTTTTAGCGCCCAAAAAGGACTTGTCCATCCAGCCGGCCAATATTGTCACTTTCACGTGATGAAGCATCACTTCCGATAACAAAATTAGCCGTTATATGTCGCTATAGTAACGAATGTGTTCTTGTTGAAATAAAATAACGGTTTTGATTTAGGTGTTGCCACTCGGGAAACAATTTTAATGCATTCCGCAGTTCGAGAAGCAATGAAAACTATACAGTTTATTTGGTGACAAAAAGCTTCTCTAACGCCTAGCACTTCTAGAACTTGCAGTTCTGCCAAGTTTGTGTTTTCCTGTTCTGCCTTTAGTGTATCAGTAGTAATGCTTGTAGTAGCAGCAGTTGTAGCATTAGAATAAGTGTTTACTAGTTGAGGATTCTAGAAGTCAAATGTGGCATATGATTACATGCATTCCATTGAATACAATGGACACTCAATGCCGTTTAAAAGACGAAACAACAAAATGCTGTTCGAGAGAATCGTAGTATTCGCCGTAATACTTGAACAGAATGGACCCACCATTGGCAAGCTGCATGGTCGTACCTTCACAGTGCGTAAGGATAACGGAATCTCGATTCAGCTGGCGATAAGCATGTTTCGTTTGTAGCTTCAGGCATGCATGGAAATTGCAGGAGGCAGCATTCCCTGTCATCCTCCCTAGTTTTACATTGGCAATACTACGGCCTCTATCCTTACCACTCCATTTATCATTTTCTTTACCACTGCAGTTATGCATAGTCTAGGTCAACCTCCGTATTGTGTCAAGCAGTGGGGTAAATTGTAAGCCGGGAGGGGGGGGGGGGGACTGTAACACAGCACTAGTGTCGGTGTTTCCTTCGCTATTTTGTGTTCGTGTGTGCGCGCCCTCTTGAAGAGGCCCTGAAACATTTTCAACCGTGGAATGGATTCGCTATAGGAGCTTATTGCCTCACGAGTTCAACGCCGCAAAATTTTTAAGTATCTGTCTAGTACGAGCAGAGTCATGTCGTATGTCGCGGCCTCCCGCGGCGATCCCGCTAATGACCGAGTGCGCTATGTTCAAATTGGCCAATGGCTGATAGATGGCCTTCTACGCGCGATTTTTGAGCGTCTTCCGTCATTTATTGAGGTGAGAGAAAGCAATTTTCAGCTGACTTTGATATTTATTGTGAATTCCAGGCCGCGTGCTGCCTTCTGATATTAGGCTCACGTGTTCTCGGGAACCTCTACTACCGATCGGCAACGTTTTCTGACAATGCTACAAAAGTGTTGCAGGGCCCCTGAAAGGGTCCCTAAACCACCTCCGATACATTCTTGTTAATCATTTCAAGTCATTCATTCAATCATTCAGTCAATCATTCAACATCAGGCGTACCTCAAGGATCAGTTCTTGGCCCCCTCCGGTTTCTGATATATATGAACGATTTACCCCTCAGCGTATCCCGCAAAATCCGCTTGTTTGCAGATGACTGTGAAATCTATCGGACAGTAACTAACACTCACGACCAAAATCTTCTCTAGAACGATCTTAACCACATTCAAGAATGGCGCGATAATTGGCTTTTGTCTCTTAACCCTAACAAATGCAAACTTGTTACGTTTCTTGCCGTAAGAATCCTTTCATTTTTTCATATCATATTGCCAAAGTCCCTGTACAATCACAACCGTCCTACAAGTATATAGGTGTCTCATTGCATCGCGATCTCACTTGGAAAAACGTCATTTTATCGGCAAATAAAACTCGGGGCTTCTTGAAGTGTCACCTACGTCATGCACCAAAACATGTGAAGTTGCTGGCATATCAGTCCCTCATCAGATCGAAACTCGAATATGCCTCCCCTATATGGAACCCGCCCCAGATATATCTCATTAACGACCTCGAATCTGTCCAAAATCGCGCCGTTCGATTAATTCACTCCAAGTACTCATACGACATCAGCATTTCATCCTTGAAAGCACCATAAGTAATTGTAAGCACCGTAGCGCTAATCACGCTGCGCTGACAATGCAACACTTGCACGAAAAGGCAAGTGTTTCCAACGCTTTGCTAAAACGACATGGTGGTGGCACCTACCCGTCGCCTTGAGTTCTACACCTTATCGCCTCCGAGACGCGCGAGCACGCCGCCCGCTTCGTTTTCCAAGATGACTGCCAGATAGCGCTCATGTCTCACGTGTGACGTGACTTGATGCGCTCGTTCGCCTTCGCTGCACGCTCGAGGCACTCTAACGCTATGCCTCCAGAATATCATTAACCGATTTTCTTGCGCATAACATCAAATAAACGTTTTGTTCACTCTCTCCAGGTACAAGACTATCGTCTTTCGACGACATTTGCCGTGTAACATGCAGATACGCCCTCACCCCCTCCCCCCTTTTTTTTTCTTTTAATACGCGGCTTTCCCCGTGTGATCGCGCGTGCGCAAGTCACGGCCTCCCGCGGCGATTCCGCTAATGACCGAGCGCGCTATGTTCAAATCGGCCAATGGCTGATAGATGGCCTTCTACGCGCTATTTTTGAGCGTCTTCCGTCATTTATTGAGGTGAGAGAAAGCAATTTTCAGCTGACTTTGGCCATTTATTGTGAATTCCAGGCCGCGTGCTGCCTTCTGATATTAGGCTCACGTGTTCTCGTGAGCCTCTACTACCGATCGGCAACGTTTTCTGACAATGCTACAAAAGTGTTGCAGAGCCCCTTGAAAGAGCCCCTAAACCACCTCCGATATATATTTTTAAATCATTTGAAGTAAATACGCGAATCGTGTGCAGATTGCCGTTCCTGCATTCTACACGTGGCGGCGTTACGAGCGGCCGGCGCGCCACGATTTCTATGAAACAACCCCTCTTTCGGTCCTTCGCGTGACGTCAAAAGGTTGAATATCTAAAGCTCAGCACATTAATGCTGTGAATGGCCGAAGAAAAGCATACGACTTCCGGTTAGTCTACAAGTAGCTGACCGCGTTGCTTGTTCGTCGTATTGTCCGCGTGCGTGCTTGCGAATCGGCTACTGCAGCACGTAACACAGGGTACCGGCCCGATTCGAATGAGGACGGTCTGGCACTGCAACGGTGGTTCTCCAACAAGCACGCAGTTGTCGTGGCAACCGGAAGTAGACAGTGTTTCGAGCGGCGCACCGGTGATGACGTGTGCCACGCAAAATTGGGAAAGGCGCCGTGCGGATGGGCAATTCTGTTTTGGGAGAGGATAGCTACAGAGGCTAGCGAAGGAAAGAGCGAAAGAGGTGATCGCCGCGTTTCGATAATCAAATGCGTGTAACTCCGCTGTTGCGGCACCGTTTCGAAAAATTCTCACGGCTTCTTGGTCGTTGTACACTCGTGCACAACTTCCCCACCACAACTGAATTTCGACCTCTTAGTGTTTAGGTGCTTTTAGGATTGGAGGGGGAGAGTCCTGACTTCCTTCTATTGAAGCCGGGGAGGAACCCCTCTCGCAAGTGCCCTTTTGATATTTACCTTTGAAATTTATTTTCAAAGAGAACTTTCGCGGAAGGTTTGAACATGAACGACCCAGGGCCCACCTGGCTCGCTCATGTTAGACGGTGCTTGTTTAGAACTGCTGGACAGGGCATAGCTGGACAGCGACAACGCTGCCTCATGAAATGAAGCGATAGTTGAGGTGGGGGGGCATATCCTAGAAACGTTTGCGAAATCGTGTGTGACTGATGGACGTCCGCTCATTTTTTCTTTGTTGCCGCTGCACACAGAGGATGCCACCTGCATGGGACGGGAAAAGTGGACCTATGAGGATGAGTTATACAGAAGTTTCAAGAAAGGTCGAGATAAAAAAAGCAATAACAAAAAAAACTGGAAATTAAGTTTGAAATTAATGCGACAATAATAAAAAGAACTGGTTAAGGCAAATCATGTCTGTCGCTCCATAGAGGAGGATGTGTGTGTATACAGGGAACTGTAGTTCGCTATGCACATAGAAATATTTAAGATATTTGAAATGCTGTTTGATTTGTTGCCAAGAACTTAGATGGCGTTGCTGCATATGAGAAGTGAGAACTACACGTCAAAAAGCTTCCCTTTTTTGTCGATGCCTTTATAATAGACAGTTATAGTTTACCTTTATCGTGATAGTGGGGTATAAAGGGAAGCGTTACCGTGCCGCAAACGTTCGTTGCGAACAGAGCCTTATAGTTTAGCTGGATAGCTTTTACGTACCTTAGCTGGGATGGTGGTGCCACCTAGTGGAGTGTGAATGAGTTAGACTGTGAAAAGGAAAAGAAAACGGAGATGCTTGCCTGTGTCACCGCTCGAAGCAATGTTCCAAGTTTGTTTATAATAATAAAGGTAAATATGAATCAAACTTGAAAATAATTATGTTGCCGATTTTTTACATCAATCTTCTAGTTAGGACTATAGGAACACCCGAAATTGAAAGCTATCTCAAAACTACGCTAACTTATCTCTAATGTTCAGTCATCGAAGCTAACTGAAGGCAATCGAAGCCACTTTTAACAGGCGTTTGCTGTGAACGAAGAAAATCTTTCAACTGCGCCAAAATCGCTTCGAAGCGGGCGTCCGAAACCGCCACTAAGTTTTGCGTAAACCGCGCTAACACGGTAACGTTAAATCTGAACTATAGCGTGCGTACGTACGGGTAGAGGTATGAATGACGTATGTTACTGCACATGCGCAGTGAGATCCCGCTAAGCCTGGTAAAGTATAACTGGCTAATGGGAAAGAAGCGGGATACTGAGAACGGAGTGACGTGTATAGTGAAGAATAAAGTGCGGGTTCGACGTCCTATTCGTGACGGAAATACGTCGGCGAGGTCTTGATGGACGCCGACATAAAATACTTTCGTGTTAATAAACACCAACGAATTCCGCGTAACGATACCGAGAGGTTATAGACGAAATAAGAAGGCGAACATTTTACAATGGAAAGAAAGGCGCTTTCTTGCTGTTTTGAGTTCCGCATTCAAGGCGTGGAACGCGATAGTGTAATCGGGTCCCCGTTCGCACCGCCTTTTCAATTCCTCGCCTGGATTCGCTCGTCAGTGGACATCCTCAAGCCAAGACGCAAGGAAAGGGAGTGTGCGTGCGTGTCACAATGGCCGTTTAATACTACCCTGTAGAATGTCTATACCACAAGTACAATTGCGAAGTGCATGGTACGCCATAATTAATCCTTTTTACAAAATGGTGAAGAAACCACTATGGTTCCGCAAGGCAACAAGCGCATCTGCGCAGCTTTACATTTTTTTTTATGCTGCTGCTGACGTTGATGATTAACTGTGCCTGAAGTACTTTTAAGTAGTGGGCCTTTAAGTAATCCGCTTGTTGCGCAGTGAGGCAGTGAGTGTGAAAAGGAGAGAAGGCGCAAGGGAGGTTAAATCATACCAGCCGTAGAAGCCGTGTCTAAAGCATATCAAAGACAAGCCAGCGGGGAATGAGGGTGAGAAGGAAAGGAAAGTGAGGAGGAGCGATACGGAGCTGAGGACGACGGAAAGCAGGAGGAGAGGTGATAAGGAATAGCATAGCGCCCTGAATAAGCGTAGTACTTGTAGATAGATATGTGGGGTTTAACGTCCCAAAAGCACCATATGATTATGAGAGACGCCGTAGTGGAGGTCTCCGGAAATTTCGACCACCTGGGGTTCTTTAACGTGCACACAAATCTGAGCACACGGGCCTACAACATTTCCGCCTCCATCGGAAATGCAGCCGCCGCAGCCGGGATTTGAACCCGCGACCTGCGGGTCAGCAGCCGAGTACCTTAGCCACTAGACAAGCGTAGTACTTGTATTGTAGTTACAGCGTGACAACGGTAGGAAGAAACGTGGACATGGTGTAACCAAGGGTAGAGAGGGGAAGTGAGGGTGAGAAGGTGGGAAAGGAGGAGGGTTGATGGTACATCTGCATTACAGATGAAGGTTTCATATCTCGCCATGCACGCCAAGCAGGCTGCCCGGCGAAAACGCCACGTTTGTCGTTCGCACTTTCGCCGCTATCTTGTGGTTGCAGCTACGTTCGACAAAGTGGTAACTGCCCTGAATGACCGGCTACGGGAACACCATTACAAGGCTAGGAACGAGGCACGTGTTTTTTTTTTTTCTTTGCAATACATTGCAAGAGGTACAGTTGCCTTTCTTTGCTCAACACATGCGTATCTGCGGGAAGAAATGCAAAGTCAGCCTACGCGTGGCATTATAGCAGCGGGGCAGATTTAAACGACGGGTGACAAGAGCAATAGCAAGCCATTTATCATGCTGGCAGAAAAGAAAAAGAAATTGATTTTCTTGTCCACGATGTTGCGTAGTAATGTTCTGTTGCTTCTGTTTATCGGCTGTGTTCATGCTTGCTATATGAGTATACTGTTAGGATACAGAAGATCTGTTGAAAGCGCTAAGCGTAGACCTGTGCGTTCAATTGTTGCGTGATCGTCTGCAGTGCGCTTTTGCGGTATATTAAGGAAAAAAAAGCGCAAGAGCGTGTCCTGGCCGCAAACGCAAGGGCATTACAGCATCCGTGCAGGCTGCACGTTTTGAACGCCAGTGCTAACTTGCCCAGTGAAGGGCCAACACTTCCGGGCGAATCGCTGCTGCTTGCTGCCCACAGCTTTTATGCGACCGCGTACACTTTTTTTTTTAATGTACACCCACCAGGGGCGCAGCTGGGAATAAAAAGCGAAAACTTCGCTGGCCTAGTCGAGCGAGTTTCGCCGTGTACCTCCGCTTGGCCTCGAAATGAAAAAGTTACTATACCGCGTGTCTAGCGAGGTCATCCGCCGCCAGGACGACAAACGCCACCTCGCCGACCATGCATGTCCGCGTGATTAACCGTACGTTACTCGTAATGAGCTAAAGCGGAAACTAGAGTACCAGCGCGCAAATTGATAGGGCCCGAAACCGAGGAATGAAAAGCGAACTTCGGCGAGCTGAACGTCGGGACAAGTATAGCAGAAAGACGACAGTTGCAAGGTATAGGGGCGACAATGGATGCGGCGCGTTCTATTTTGGCTGCGTCTTTGGAAACGGACAAAATGACAGTGCTTAGTGTTCGCACTTTACGGCACGTTGGACTAGCTATATTGCTCGGCTGTCAAACTGTGCTTCGGCTACGAGCGTAAACAAGCATGACCAAGTGTAACAAGCTTTCGCTCGCATAACCAGGCCTAGCCTAGTTAGCCTGTGGCCAGTTTCTAGTGGTGGGTGGGAATAAGAGGAGGGTAGACCCTTATTTAAGTATTTGAATGGCTTTGTACGTGTGCGGGTATGTAAATACATACAAAATATTGCAAAAAATGCAGGGTTCTGGAGGGCTGGATGCCCTGAACAACGTTCTGGACGACACCGATGTCCACAGAATACCGATTCGAATCAAGCCCTCTCGACGTTGTGTTCAAGAGCCAGAAGCTGAAGTCGCCAAGCCGGAACGGCGAGTAGAACCAACACCACCAAGCCGGAACGGCGAGTAGAACCAACACCACCTGTTGATTCAGCCAAATCGTAGGCCGCGCACAGCCAGACCCCTCAACCCCCACTTTTTTCTCGCGTGTTAACGGAGGCCATTGGCCTCATTGCCATATTTCCGGCAGATGTCATTTTGTGTGTGTGTGTGTGCCGGTGATTGCATGCAGCGCAGTCAAATGGGAAGATTACAACGCTACAGCCCTACACCGAAGAAGTAAAAACGAGCATGTTGATCGGCACATAGGTAACACCGTCAGCAAGTGTTCGCTCCCGCGTCCACACATCAGTGACCGAAACGGGACAGAGAATTGCCTTAAACTTAACCATTTCTAGCTGGCTAATGTATTTTTTTCTCTCTTCTCAGAAAGGTCGTTCATATCTGTCGTAATACGTACATTCAACACGTGCGCTACTGCATATACGTTTCACGTTACTTACCTTTTACGGATGTTGCGTATAGTGTTATGCATAGCAACCCCCCCCCCCCCCCCCTCCCGCACACATACACACACATATGCACGCATTTCTCTCGAGTTTCTTTGTGTCAATTGCACGCTGCAGTTGGTAAATTGCTGCAGTCGTAGTAGAGCGGTCGCTCACATAAACACCGAATGATGCAGGGTGGAGCATGCAACGTGATTTTCACATGTGGCGCCACATGCGATTAAATTGAAATGCGCTGTGCATTCTCGTTTTGTGTGCCTCTTATACGCATATTGCTTAGCTGCGGCAATGGATAGTCCCGCACTTCTGGCCACGTTTTAACGAAACAGGAGCTTCGTGCACTGAAGAACCGCTGCCATGCTTCGAGGACGGTGAGCACTCGTACATCTAGCAAAGGCAAAAATTTTATTAACGTGTGAGGTCTGAGTGTCTTGACTCAAAGTAAATGTCTAGACTTGACTTTAAACATATTGGCTTGACCTTGAACCAATCTTCCTGCACCCACAATCAATCATAATTTCTAGCATCAATGACAGAGGGTGGGCACAATGAAAATTCAAGTGAAAACCAGTGAAAATTAAAAAGAAAGACCAGTGAGAATTCAGCTACACATGCTCTACGGACGATGGCTTCTGAAGGCCTAGCCCAGGCCAGTGATTGCTCGTTGGATCTTAAATAAAGTTTTTTTACCTACTTATAGCGTCGTCGGCCATTTGTTCGCCCTTCTTCATATTTAGTGGACCGTTGGCGAGCACTGCAATTTATTCAACTTCTGTGGCGCCATTTTTATGATGGCCCGTGACTTCATGACATACCATGAAGAGATTAGGTGCCGACAAGCCGAGGCCTATCGGTGCTTCGCCACGTCATTATTGCGTCACAGATTTTGTCAAGGTTGCTTTGTCATGATGCCATGATAGGATGACGTCATCACACGAAGGTAAATTTATGATGGACCGCGACTACTGGCGCACCGTGACGCCGGGAGACGCCGACAAGCCGATGATAAGGTGGTTCGGACCTATTATTTTTACGCATAAGCCTGCGTTCTCCACTAAGCAACTATAAAACGTGTTTTTTTTTATTCTGAATAAGAAAAATGTGTTCAAACCACAAAAGTCTACGCGCACTTTTTTTTTGTTGAACTTATTGGCTAGGCGTTCATGTGAGTCAGCAACTAGGCATAATTTGTCGACAGGTCTCGGCCGCTGCCACTTTTCGGCGTCGTTTTTATCGTCGCCTGGGTGCAGCACCAGGACTGGGGTGACGCCTCAGTCTCAATGACCTCGTCTTCTAATGGACAGCTGATGGACATCGGGGATTCAAGGACTATTTTCAAGGCGAAGACAAAACCGCAAAGAAGTGGTATGCATTCATGAAAGCCACGTTTCCTTTGTTCGCAGAACACAGCGTCGTAATCTCAAGGCCAATGCTTGGATACTTGCCCAGTCTGTGGCCATACTAGAGCGTGTGTTTAATTAATTTCATATTGATAGATGAGACTGGAGATACGAATTTTCATTGTCGTCTCGTGGGCGTGAGGCTCAACATGTCGTTACTTTTCTGGTTAGGCGTGCATTACATCACGAACGGTGGCTGCCCCTTCAGAACGAAACGAGCAGCCAGGAAGGAATCGCCCAGAGAAGACGTGCTCAAGGCCGAGCTTGCCCTGTGCTTCGAGGAAGCCAGCCGAAGATTATTGACCAGGTGATTGACGCAGTGGTATTCGTAAAGGTATTCGTAGAAGAACACAAGCTTATTATTTACATCATAAACATAGGCAATAAAAATTTCTCGAAAATTGATCGGTGAGACGGAGAAAAAATTATGGAAGTGCAAAGGCAGCACGGAGAAGGTGATCGATGTTCATGAGCGCGCGTACGGACGCATTCCTTGAAGGAACACTGAATTCAAACAATTAATTAATGTATATTGGTAATTTTTTATGAAAACTATTGTGTCGTTATTCCACCATCATAGCTTAAACAATAAAGGATGGAGTCAAGGTTAAAGTCTCATTTTCAAATTTGATCGGGGAAGGGGGGGTCATAGGTGCGCACTTTATGCTTATTTACTTACGCACAATTCTCTACTTGTATGTAACCAATTGATGATATACCGCTACTGTTTATGTCACTCGAAGAAAGCTGGCAAAAAGCACCGGATTAGGCTGCGCGAGCACTACGATGCTCTGAATTCGAATGACGGCGCTAATCTTGCACTCATAGGCTTCTAGGAAGCGATCGCCCCCCCCCCCCCCTCTGGATTCGCCACTGCTTAGTGGGGATGCCCAGAACACCAAAAGATACCATGTAGTGATACGGGGGCCTTTCTGTGTGATTGCTTTGTGTGCGCATGCTCATATCGGTTTCTTGTTCGCATTTTCATCGAAATCAAGTCAGTTGGTAGTCCAGCATCCTTCGTGTCCTTTTTTTATTGTCTTGGTTGCTTCTGATTTCTTGTGGTGCTACTGGAATTCCCACCGAGGCTGTGTACCAACAAGCCACCCCTAATGAGCTCCAACGGCGTTTGTGTCGGCCTCCTTCTATAGTCTCGTGCTTTTGCTGGCTTTCTTCAAGTCATCATCATCATCAGCCTTACTGCGTCCACTGCAGGACAAAGGCCTCTCCCATGTTCCGCCAGTCAACCCGGTCCTGTGCTTGCTGCTGCCAATTTATACCCGCAAACTTCTTAATCTCATCTGCCCACCTAACCTTCTGTCTCCCCCTAACCCGCTTGCCTTCCTCTGAGAATCCAGTTAGTTACCCTTAATGACCAGCGGTTATCCTGTCTACGCGCTACATGCCCGGCCCATGATCATTTTTTCTTCTTGATTTCAACTATGATATCCCTAACCCCCGTTGGTTCCCCAATCCACCTTGCTCTCTTCTTGTCTTTGAAGGTTATACACCTACCATTTTTCGTTCCATTGCTCGCTGCGTCGTCCTCAATTAAAGCTGAACCCTCTTTGTAAGTCTCCAGGTTTCTGCTCCATAGCTAAGTATCGGCAAGATACAGCTGTTGTATCTTGAGGGATAGTATCTTCAAGTATCGTGAACCAAATGGCCCAGATTCTCGACTGTTCTGCACTGTTGATGTCGTCGCAGCTCTCGGAACCCTACAGACGGACTGGACGCGAACGCAGCGACGGCGTCGGAAGCGAAATGCGCGTCGTCGCCGCTTTGCCGGCACCGCGGCGCAAAGCGGTGCGACGCCTCCCGTCCTTTCCGCGAGGCTGACGGCAGGTGCAACAACGTCGAGCATCCCGAATGGGGAGCCGCGGGAGCCTGCATGAGGCGGCTGCTGCCACCGGCCTACGCGGATGGTACGTCCCTTAGATTTATTTGTTTTTTTTTTCATTTCAGTAACTTCAAGCGCTACAGGAGGGTATTATAATGGTCGTTGTTGCTGTCACAGCAGCAACAACGACCATTGAAGAATTTCCTGCCGTGGCCTTCAAGATGGCAGACGTGCTTGGTTCAACTGGGCCCCGCTAGATGGCAAGACCTGTCCAGTTAAACCATGCGAAAATTGAACTCTGGAAGCAACTTAGAAGTGGGGCAGCTTGGACTAGTTGGTATGGCATGACGATAGTTATAGCGCGAGAACAAAACGACGACACAGAGACAAGAAGGACGCGGTTTCCTTCTTGTCCTTCTTGTCTCTGTGTCGTCATTTTGTTCTCGCGCTATAACTATCGTCATGCCTGATAGTAACGTCCGGCGTTTTCTTTTTGGCAGCGTCTCGTGCGCCGCGCGGCGCAGCAGCCATCCCCACACAGGAATGGCTCCTGCGCCGCACGGAAGTGACGTCACTTAAAAAAATATTACCTAAAGCTAGTTAAACGTGTAAATTATTCGTGCGTAGTGCGTTAAACCTACAAAATTTTTACTAAACATGTGTTTAACAAGTCAATTAGTTTAGGTTTGTTATTTAAATACATATTACAAGTATTTTGAATACAGGGGGCGCCATGGGCACTGCGGCTGTAGTGCCCAAAATTTAAAGAATCTGGCGAGGTGATATTAGTAGGAGATTTAAATGCCCACATTGAGGATCTGGATGGATATACAGACTATAACGGTGCAATGGTTATCGATATGTGTGAAGAACAGCAACTGGTAATAGTTAACCGGGAACATAAATGCGACGGGCAGATAACGTGGCAAAGCGGCAGTAGACAGTCTTGCATAGACTACGGCCTGGTCTCAGAACACACGTACGAGCGGTTGAACCAAATGACGATAGATGATGAGGGAGAAAACAGTCTGGGCAGCGACCACAGGCGTATAATCCTGAAATTTGACAGTGGGGGGGCTAGGAAGAAAACACAGGAGGTTGGGCTCCCGAAAGTAAGCGAAAAGCAGATAGCAGACATCGTCAATAGCATCGAAAGAGAATTAGAAGCACAGCCAACAAAGGTGTGGGAATATGACGAGGTTGTTAGTTGTATACAAAAGGAAATAAACAAAGTAAGGAAAAAAAAACGCTGGAGGGGTAAACGGAAACCACGAAGCTGGTGGGACAAGGAAATTAAACTGGCTATTGAAGAGCGACGACGGGCCTCTAGACTGCACAGAAAAGCAAAGCAAATGGGATATCAGGATGATGAGGTGCAGTTACGGTGGAGCCGGTACCGAGAAAAGAAATTTGAGGTGCAGAAACTAGTACAAGCGAAGATTAAAGCTGCGAGTGAGAAATGGGTATCAGACATACGTAAGAAGGATAAGAGCGCCCCCCGAAAACTCTGGAACCATGCATTTAAAAGCATTGGGAACGACGACTATAGAGATGCAGACTCAGATACAGGACGGAGACGGCAACGTTCTCCTGGGGGACAGCGCATTAGAATACCTACATGGAGTCATAGGAAATACTTTCGGCCAAGCACGCGAGAGGTCGGCTAACTGGACACAGGTGGCAAATAAAAGAGTGGCAGATGAAAAATTTAATATCGAATTTTTGGACTGGAAAAAGGCAGAACACAGTGTTCCCAAAAGTACGGCAACTGGACCGGATGGAATCCAAATAGAGATTATCAACCATTTGGGACCAGCGGGACAGGCGCACTTGTATGGAGCCATCGAGCGCGCTATAAAATCCAAGAGGATTCCTGCGCACTGGCGCGAAAGTAGAATGAGTTTGATCTACAAAGGCAAGGGAGAAAGGGACAAGGCGAGCTCTTACAGGCCGATTACAGTCACGTCAGTGCTCTATAGATTAGCTATACAAGCCATCAAAGCCTAGTTGTTGAAGTGGGCTGAAAGTAACGGTATTTTAGGGGAACTGCAAAATGGATTTAGGCCGGGTCGACGCTTGGAAGACAATCTTTTCGTCATAACCCAGACCATCGAAATTTCGGCAGCACAGGGTAGACCAACATGGCTACTGTTTCTGGACATAAAGGGTGCCTATGACAACGTGGACAGGGGATTGCTGTGGCATATACTGGAAGAGGAGGGGATTGGGTCGGAATTTGTAGGGCTGCTAAGGGCAATATATGAGGATAACAAGGCACACATTACATGGGAAGGGCGTACATAAACAGAGCCCGTGTACATTCGAAGAGGTTTAAAACAGGGGTGCCCTCTTTCGCCATTGCTGTTCACACTGTACATTAGAGGAATGGAAAGACGACTAGAGGAGAGTGGATTGGGCTTTGATTTGTCACACCGAAGCAATGGAGTGTTAGTGGAGCAACGGATTCCGGGATTGATGTACGCAGACGATATAGTGCTGCTGGCGGATAATGCGGAAGAACTTCAAAAACTGGCTGACATTTGTGGTGATGAGGCAACGTACCTAGGCCTACATTTTAACCCACAGAAATCTGGAGTCATGGTGTTCAACGAGGAAGCTCATGTAGCACCAATAAGGATACAACAGGAAGCCATACCATTAGTAAATAAGTACAAATACTTGGGGATACGGCTTAATGAAGGAAAAGGCTACCTGAATGCTCATGAAGAACACCTCAAACTGAAAGGGAGACGAAATGCAGCAGTAATGAAACATAGAGCACTTTGGGGACACAATAAGTACGAGGTAGTACGAGGCATCTGGAAAGGGGTAATGGTGCCGGCGCTCACGTTCTCTAACGCCGTATTATGCTTAAAGTCAGATATCCTGTCGGGGCTGGAGGTTAACCAAAAGGCAGTCGGCAGGTTAGCTCTGGGAGCTCACAGTAAGACTACAAACGAGGCTGTACAAGGCGATATGGGTTGGGCTTCATTTGAGGCGAGGGAAGCACAAAGTAAAATACGGTTTGAGGAGCGACTTAGACATTTAGATGAGAAGAACTGGGCAGCCAGAGTGCACAGACACCTGTACCTGAAAAGTGTGGACACCCAATGGCGGAAGAGGACGCGAAAGCTGGCGACTAAATATAACTTGACCGCGGCAAATAAGCAAAGGGGGCCAGTTAAAAAGCAAGTGAGGGAAACAGAGACGCTCATGTGGAAAGAGAGGATGGAAAAGAAGGGATCGCTGGGAATCTACAAGGCAAGCAAACAAGAGATCCGGAAAGAGAACTTTTATGACAACAATAAAGGTAGTGCGTTGCTCTTTGAGGCGCGGGCTGGCTGCTTGAGAACTCTAACTTACAGGAGCAAATATTCGTCACAGGATGAGACATGTGTTGGATGTGGCATAAATAAAGAAACAATCGACCACATAGTCATGGAATGCCAAAAGATTCAGCCGGATAGAAATGGGGGGAAGGTCACACTTCCTCAAGGAGGTTATATTAAAGATTCTGGAGTGGCGGAGAGGCTCCGCGGCTGAAGCCGACACCGCCATATTGATCAGGGCAGAAAACGGATGGGCGCAGTTTAGCGTGCGTGGCTTTCGTGTTGATTTAGTGCTAGTAATGTTGCGTATCATGCTTCTAATTGAACAAGACACTTCTGAACACGTCTGTGATCACATTTTGAGGCGACGATGTTGGGCTCTTGGGTAGTATTTGGCTGTGCGAATCGTGTGAAGCGGACACTGGGCTCAGCTTTCGATGTTTAAGTAGGCATGCTTCGCTCATTCGCTTATTCTCCCATATTTTAGCGACTATGCGACTGCATTCATAGATTTTCTTTTGGCGTCCGGGGGCACAATGACGCTAAGAATAATTTTTTGCAGGCTCTATGTTTTTGTAGGATATATATGTGTGTGTGTGTGTGTGTGTGTGTGTGTGTGTGTGTGCGTGTGTGTGTGCGTGCGTGTGTGTGTGTGTGTGTGTGTGTGTGTGTGTGTGTGTGTGTGTGTGTGTGTGTGTGTGTGTCATATCCTTGAGTAAGTTTTTTTTTCTTTTTATAGTGAAAGGTGTTACGAGATCAGAACATGGGTCATGCGTAGAGCCGTGTCCGCCGCCGCCGCCACTCGTAATTAGTATCGAACAAAAAAAACTCGGTAAGTTAAGAATATCAATGACACAATGAGAGTCCAACCCGGGTCCGCTGCGTGCCAACCCAGCATTCTACCACTGAGGCGCGCCAGCGCTGGAAATTGTTTCTAAACTGGTTTTAGGCAGGCTTGATGTCTGGAAACGAGTCGCATTAATATGAGTAATAAAGTGTTTTAGACCATCAAGGAACAGCGAGGCGTCACACAATGCGAATTTCGTGACGACTTGGTCGCCCAACGCTCCCATCCATTAAATAACTTGTTCTTGATCACCTATTAACTGTGGTGCATAACCACTTCACGCATATTTCTTCATCGTCATCAGCCACTGCATAAAAAGATGCACTAAACTTCAAACAAGTGTGTAGCGAATACCGCGCACGATTCTCCAAAGAATGGCGAAGGATAGCATAGTGAATGCTGGCCTACTACAGAAAATTTATGATTATTTAAGGCACTGTGGATACCCAGCAGTGCCCTTGTAGCATCCCAAAGAGTTTTTAGAGAAGGCTCTGAAAGACCACTCCCCAGCTTTCGCTGTGACTGTGCTGCGCGTTCCTTGCAGGTCTGGCATGTTCTTTTTTTTTTACACGCTTGAAACGCCAAGTGTCCAAGAAAAATTAAAGCAGATGTGCATTAAAGTCCTTTCCGTGTTCCTTCGCCTACTATATAAAAATATTAAACAGGTGCTTTTGTAGCAATAACGAAACGCATGGCAAGAATCACGGCGCTTCAAAGCAGGCGCCGCCTGCTTCTGCCCTGAGCAATATGGCCGCTGCGGCTTCACTTCGAGACATGGGCGGGTATGCGGGACCGCCACTCCAGAAGATTTAGTATAACCTCCTTGCACTTCCTGAGGCGCTGGGCTTCGCGGTTGATGGAAGCATTAACTGGTCAGCAGTAGGTATTACTAAGCAGCGGCTGGAGTAT